GTAATAGAACTTAATGGATTGGCAATATATAGATGATGAAAAATAAATGTAATGTATGGTGATATAATCACCTATCTATTCAAAAGGATATTAACAAATAACACAAGCAATGATTGCTATAAAAAAATCTTTTTTAGTCAACATGTGTGATCAGATTTCTCAGTGCCTACATTTAAAAGTGAATAAATAAAACTGGTAATTCTTATTTCATTCTATCAATAAGTAATTTCATCCATGGATTCACAAACTAATTGAAAAGTGTATCTATCCATCTCATTAACAGATGCATTTCCAGTAAATGATTGGTTTATATTTAATAATTATCACAATATGTGGTATCTTGTCTTGTTTTTCAGCAATGAGGTGCCAATAATAATTGTTCAGATAATCTAATCCAAAAGAAACTTTTTAACATTTGAGCTCTTACAGTCATGACACCTACATATATAATTCATATACATATTTTATTGCCTATTATAAAGTAAAAACACTTTCATGTATACACATATTACAGTATGATGATCTAGAGGATGTAAAATAGAAATAAACATTCAAGAAATAAAATTAACAATATAATGTTTTAAGTAGATGACAATGAATATAAAATTTCTACGGTTTTTAGATATCAGTGCCACAGTGAAGTGTGACATGATCATTGTATTTAAAATGATCATTTAAAATTCATCAGAAACTTCAGTTTTTTAATCTAAATAAATATACTCTTTTAAAAGAGTCTTTAAAAATGTAAATGATACATCAGTAAGGGAGCATAGGTATTTAAAGATCACTGAGACAATTGCTAGTGTTGTTATTTGGACTGAAGTATCCAATACATTGTATGTTAATCACAGTTAACCTTTCTTCTTTAGTATCTTTCCTACCATTCCCTAAGATTGAGGGAGTGAATGAGGTAAAATTTACTATAATGAATTTTGGTAAAACTTTCGTAGCTATGATATGAGATATGAAATTTCAGAGAATTCTTTATACATATATAATTAATTCAAGGTGGAACCTTCACCTGGCTCTTATCTATTACTAAGTCCACTGCATTTGGGTGGTCTTCTATTATATCTGGTCACATTCTTTCTTATTTATCTCACTTTTCATAAAAAACATGGTATTGCTATTAGAAACTGAGTAATTTTTAAACACTTGGCCTTATACTTTGAAGTAGCTGATATTTAATACTTATCCTAAGAGTCAGCTTATTTTTTTAAAGATTTATTTACTTACGCATAGAAGAACTGGGGTGCAGGACAGAGGTGTGGGGGTTGGTGAGAGGATTTACCAGAGACAGAATGGAGAGTAGAACAGGTGGATCTTCTGAACTACACTGCTGAGGGGAGCAGCAGGTGAGACAGGAGAGGTCTGCTTCAGGTCAGCATCCTGGCTGGGGATCAAACTCAGGCCATAGTGGTGACAGCCTGAGACTTAACCCCTAGGCCACCAGGGATGCCTCCTAAGAGTCAACTTATAAATACATTCATCAATCAGAATGCAATGCCACAATCACTGACAAGTGTTGGCTTAAGATCAGTTGATTTACAATAAAATAAAAGACTCCATCTTCAGTGTGAAGAAGAATTTTGGGGCATCCTGACAATGAGGAAACATGTCCTGAGCTTGGTGGGAGAAGACAGATCTGGAGAGTTGACAAATATTCAAGTGAAAAATATTGTGAGGTGTGAGGATCAGTTGAATGTTGTAAATACATGGGGATTAGACAGAAGATGTTCTAGATTTCCAGTCCAATTTTGGATAGCCATTCATCATGGCAGAACATCAACAGAAAGAGAATCTTAAGGGTGAAAGACAACAAACTGACTTCTGAACATGCCAAAGTAGAAATGGAAATATTTGGCAGAACGTTGAAAGTATGAGCAGAGAAAAGAAATGTGAACAATGAGCAATGATATGCAGGTTGAAACCATGGGAGTAGATGGGACCATAGAGAATTGGGGCATTAAATGAAGCCAAAGAGATCTTGGAGGACTGGCCCCTGCCAGGACAAAGAAAATGAAACAGAAGACAGAGTGGTTGGCAAGACAGGAAGAAATGGAGCAGAAGCTTTTGTACACTTAAGCTAGAAGTGTGTATGAACAAGGCATCATCAACGATGTCATTTTCTGCCAAAAACTTAAGTCAGGGCAAGGAGAATATCGTGTGTTGGAGAGTATGGAGAATGGATGTAAACAGAAGTCAGTGAAGGAATGAGTGAAAGGGGAGCTTATGGAGGAGACTGTAAGAAGCTATTTCTTACTTGATAGAATGAGGAAACCAAGAGCTGAAATGGGAACTCCGGGACCTGGGGGGCCAAGGAAGATCTACACTTGAGCTCTCATAGTTCCATTCCCCATCAAAATGGAAAGTAGCAATATTGATGGGGAAGAAAGACATTCTGCACATTGTCAGTGTGTTGATTAGTGTGCAATGCCCATGGAACATACAAGCTGTCCAGAGAGCTGAATGTATAGAGAACAGGAATAAGGATTGAATTGTTGGGCATCCCAACATTCAACTCTGTCTTCTAACTTCTCTAGTAAATTTTTCCAAACAATGTATGGCAAGACAATAAAAGAAATTCTTTTATTATTCTCTCAATTTTGAAATTACTCTGTCCTAAATTTATGAATGCTACATATATTCATTTTTTCCCTGAAGATGGGAGTTCAGTTTTCAAAAGTGTAGCATTCTCTTTCATCTTTTAAGTTGTACCATTTTTTTCTGTTTTGTTTTCCCCCTCAGACACTCTGTTACTTAATTTTGACTGCTAGTTTTTTTGCATGCTCTTAGATTCTCTCTCTATATAAAGAGCCTTGATTTTCTACTTATAATGATAAAGGGAATGGAATTATTTTAGTTAATTGGTGTGGATTCCCCCAACTGTTGTGTATGAAAATTTATTTCCCCACCTCTTTTCTCCTTTGAGTGGTAAGGTTGATTGAAAGTTCTGTTGACAATGGCAGGGTTTATTGATTGATCTAATTCCCTGAGAATTAATGACCAAGATTTCAGAAGGTAAGTTAGGGGCATTCAATTATCAGACTTAATTGGATTTTACTTTGGTGAACTCAACCCATAACCTGTTGCTTTCATTTTACCCTGGCAAGTCATTATTTCCTGTAGCAAAACAACTTTTATTTTGGCTAGAGATTAATGCCTCAGTGTCTCCTTATATGAAAATGGGTGAAACATGCCTAGACAGACTTTCAAAGAATTTTGTGTCTTTCTGTCCTGTTTCACCTTGAGGTCCTTGTTGCATCCTCTGTGGTACTAAATCTAAACATGGAGCCTCTGTGGTTGTTTGCAAGTCAAATCTACCTTCACTGTCACTGATTGCTATGATGGAGGCTATTGCATCATCTACTTATGCTCCCTCTGTTTTCTATTTACCAGTGTATTGCCTTTCAAACAGTTATTATAATGGGCTTTTGCTTTATAGTTATAGATAATTTGTGATTTAGAACTCAGATAATGAATTTGGCAAGAACATTTTTATAATTTTCTCCCTCTAGCATTTAGCTTTGTGAACTTTGGAAAGTTGCTTAAGCCTAGTAAAAATATGATTTACTTTTCAAGGGATGGGTAATAATAATACCTAACACAGAATTTACTGTTAGAAATATGGAATATATATCAATTCCAGCTCTGGAGATTAAGGATCTCCATGTTTAATATTACTATTAACAATAATCACATTATGAGTAATATTGTTTTTACATTTTAAAGAAGTTGTGTAACATTAGCTTTCACATTCTAATTTATTGTAGATTACATACAAATAATAGAAGTTTCCAGAAGCTCTAGAAACATTTATCAATATATTTTTAGTGAAAAGTATGGTAAACAATAAAATAGCATATGTGTATATATATATATCTACACATTACCAAATTTCATGGTTGTGAGGAAACTTTTCATTATAAGAACAACTATGGGGAAAATCACTGTGCATTTACAGGACTGTTCTCACTTTTCTGTTTTTTTTTTTTTTTTTAATATAGACTTGACTTTTTAGAGTAGATTCAGGCTCAAAGCCAATTTTTACGGAAAGTGTGTAGACTTCCCACCAGCCCCTACCCGGCTCATGCATAACCTTCTCCATTATCTGTGTCCTTCTTGGAGTGGTAGCCTTGTTACACTTGATGAACCTGCTTTGACATATAATTATCTCCCAAAAGTCCATAGTTTACCTTGGGTAACCTCTCATTTTGTAGATTCTATGGGTTTAGACAAAGGTTTAATGACACGCATCCACCATTATAGTATCCAGCACACAGAGATTTCCACTGCCTTAAATATCCCCTGTGTCTTCTTATTCCTTCCCTTCTCTCCACCTCAACCCCTGATTGCTGCTATTTTGTCTTTTCCAGAATGTCATATAGTTGGAATCACTCAATTTGTAGCTTTTCCAGATTGGTTTCTTTCACTTAGTAACATGCATTTAAGGCTCTTCAGTGTCTTTTTATGACTTGATGATGCATTTCTTTTTAGTACTGAATAACTTGTCATGTGTTCTGTTTTTCTGCAGTAGTTTTTTCTGACAATTCATAGGCATCTTTTGTAGATGTTCTACATATATTTTGTCAGCTCTAATAAAACATCGATGTATTTTTTCACTGGTCAAGTTGGTTCTGCTATAATCTATATACTGTTCAGGCTTCATAGAAACTAGACATAGCCAGGAGTACAAAGAATAATGTAGAGGAAATATTAAAGACTGGAAATTAAGATCAGTTGGGTTAGTTGAGAGTCAATGGTCAATTATCAGACGTTTGTGGAGGTAACCATCCTGTGTCCAATTCTCAATTGATTAATTAGAATTTATGAGGTTTTGGTGATTTGTTTTTGATAAATTTAAGATTTTTCTACTCTGAATATAAAAATAAAACCTGCCAGAAATCAAACTAAAAACAATCTAAAAGACTAATATGGATTATCTTGGAACCAGTCTTGGTAATATCATGCAATGATGATTTTTAACCTTCTCTTTTCAGTTTAATATTCTCTATGGTCAACATAAAAATGATATTGAAGAAATATCAGCAGAAACAAAGGAAGGATTGAAATCTCAAAGCAGCAAGGATGGAGTGGTCTGTGAATTAAGAGCAGAGGTAAGGTATTAAAGAATATAATTCTGAAACCTATCTGAGGGTGATTATATGATTGTGTTCTGGGAGGTCTAACTGAGGATCTTTGGCTACTTAATGAGGAAGAAGGTCACCAACAACCAAGTCAGTTTATGTAATCTGTTTTAATATGTGGTTTTATAATGCTGTGGGATAGTATTGACTCATCACTAGACTGAATTATCTGATTATTTCTAAGAAAATGTTTGACTAAAAAACACCCTATAGACAATACAAGTCTTACTGTGAGTAAATACTTATTAAAAGTTCAGTTGGCTATTGGATCTAATGTGTTACATTATCGTAAGGACTCATGAAATACAAGAGGTGCTGAGTGTAGTTTACGGTGGAGTTAATAAAGTTGTTGGCAGCTGGCAAGGGTGACAGACAGGGTAATCTCACTTTTGTTATAGTTAATTCATTTTCTAGGTATGATAAGTAAAATAGTAGAAACATCTATTTTTCACACTACCACCACCAACAACAAATTAAATTTCACAGATTGTAAACTCTGTGTTCTGTCTTGTTGGTAAAGGAGAATTATCACCCTTAGAGATAGGAGCAGGGAGTGAATTATTTGCATTTCATAAAAACTAGTGTTGGTGTATTAAAAATAGGAAATCCTAAGTTATTTTTTTTAATGGGCAATTGTGGAAGATATCTTGGATACAAATGCGTAGAAACATTTCAGGAAATGGAATTAAGATAGTGAAAATAAAGGCTAGGAGGGAATGGATTTGTGATAAATGATCTTTCCCTGTAAAATGCTGTAAAGACTAAACTCACACCGCAGTGTGTTTCATATCAGATGAGCATTACCAACAGAAAATGCCAGTCTCGGAGCCAGAAGCAGCTCACACACTGATTATTCTGGTCAAATCCTTAAGCCTCTCTGAGTCTCAGTTCACAGACTGACATAATGAAAACAACCATAATAGTTATCACACAGGATTTAGACACTGCAAGACTAGATACTGCCAGGGAAACTAGTCTAAGCAGCACTTGGGGTGCTGGAAATGGATACCGAGGGGCTCAGGGGAACCAGCTCTCTGCGTGTCCCAGCTTGCTGCCCTGTCTCTCTGCGCTGCATAACGGGGTGCTGTGGATAGGAAGGGTACATTGGCAGCTCCACCATGAGAAATTCTGAACTGTCAGAACCAACTGTTCCCAGTGGTTAAGTTAAAGGAAAACAAATGATGATGTTTTATAGCTTTTATTCTCTAAGAGGAACACCCCGTTAGGCAGATACCACTTTTTTCTTGGTCCCCAGAAGCATCTGTGTTAAGCATTTTAAAATAAGTTGGATAAAAGTTACAATTAGTTAAGGACAGCAACACAGGAAGATTCATAGGGTAAGATGTCAGTGATAACTCTCCAAGAGTTGGGGGCCTCATCTTGTATCATCTTCAGGCTATGCAGGAGCCAGAGCGTTAGAGGATTTTGACGTGCAAGGTTTTTCCAGTTTGGTTTAGTACAAAGTTCCAAAACTTCCTTATTAGTATGTAGCCTTGAGTAAGCTATTTCTGTCTTACTTGTACAGAACCCTAATATCAATCTCCCACACATATTCAAGTAGGAGACATGATTTTACCTAATTCTTACTGAAGTGCTAAGCGTTGAAAGCCAATATTGATACTCATTGTCTTTTACTGTGTGCTCCTGAGTGGTATGCTCAATTCACACAACTGCAGAACAAAGCCTTTTTTTCAAAAGAAAATAAAAGTTGGGATAAATTTTTACAGATACAATGAACTTGTGTGTGTGTGTGTTTTGTATGTGTGTGTGTTCATTTAAGTTTTTAAATTAGGGTAGAAACTACCTCTTTTCCTTGGAAAAGAAGACAATTAACTACCATTATTGGCACTATTTCATTTTTTACATTGAGTATGTTAGGTCTTAAAATCATGTCAACTTTTTATATTGGCATAAATGTATATGGTGTATTTATGCCATAATTTGATAATGGTTATGCCATAATTTTATACAAATATAATCTATTTTGAAAATTGTTTAATTTTAGATCTATACTCAATACTGCAGTATGTATGTACTCATATCTCTTTTATTTTTATTTTTTTTAAATAATAAATTTTATTTTTATATTCCCCCATACAACTGCACATGCCCCATTCTCACCCCAATCCCCCCCCTCCCGGTCCCCACCCCCCAAAAAGTGTCTCTGGTTCATAGTTTTTTGTTGATTTTGATTTTCACTTTCTTACAGTTATTCATTTTCCTGGTCCCTTATTTAGGTTTTCTAGATTCCTGCTATGAGTGAGACCATCCGGTATTTTTCTTTTTCTTTTTGGCTCATTTCGCTGAGCATGATCCCTTCCAGCGCCATCCATGTTGCTGCAAATTGCATGTGTTTATCTTTTTTGAATGCTGTGTACTCATATCTCTTTTAAAAATGGCTTAGGGTGAATTCATAGAAAGGCTATCACTTGCTCAAGTTTATTTTTTAAATCCTCTATATGCATTGCCAAATTGCCCCTTAGAAATATTGTATCAATTTACATTATCTTACCTGTTGTGTATACACATGCTCATTTCAATATTCTGTAGCTAACAGTATAAATTATTTTTAATATTTTCCAAGACAAAAAAGTCATTTAAATTTGTAATTTATTGATCTAAACTAATAAGTGTTCTAGTAGTTTGCCACTTTTTATTGATGTGTTTATTATTGAACTTCCATTCACTGAGAATTTTCTGTATGTCACATCACATAGTGCTGGGCCATCAAAACAGAAGATCTCAATATTTTGACACTCATGACCTGTATATTTTTATCTATATTTAAAAGAAATAGCCTTAGAGAACTCACCTCACTCACACAGTAACCTTAGGCATATTGAATGTATTTTTTACCTGGTTTTCATTTAGTTCAATTTTTTACAATCAGCCTCAGATGGTTAAGCAAGTTAGACAAGTTCCAAAAGGCCACCAGCTAATGACTTTCAAATCCAGAACCCAGTGCTGCCAGCGGCCAGTATTTGACATTTTAACTTGCTCTATCACTGTCCTGTGGAGTTACTGATGCAACAAATTTCTAACAATGTTGTTTGAACTGGGAAGACAAATATCTTAATATCAAAAGCCCAGGCATTTAACCACTGATGATCCCCAGATGGTAAACAACTTTCTAAAACTGTTAGTTTCCAACATGCCTCCCCCTGATGAATGTGTTCTGTTTTATTTCATAATCTGCCTAATCTCTTTTGGAACTCCTACGAAGAGGATGATGCTCTTCCCCTTTTAGAAATCTGATTGGTCATGGAAATTCAAAGTATTTAATGCTATTCACAGCAGCATGGATGGAGCTCGAAGGGATTATGCTCAGAGAAATAAGTCAGAAGGAAAAAGAAAAATATCAAATTATTTCACTTATAGGAAGAACAGAGGGAAACCTTACAAAAAAAAAAAAAACCTTACAAAAAAAAAAAACCTTACAAAAAAAAAAAAAAGACAGGGCCTCCCTGGGGGCGCAGGGGTTAAAGACTCAGTGCATCACCAGCCTCTGTGGCCTGAGTTCCATTCCTGCCCAGGGAGCTGACCCACATGGCACAGCAGACCTGCTCCTGTTTTGCCTGCTTCTCCCCTCAGCAGTGTATTTCAGTAGATCTGCCTGTTCTGCTCCCCCCTCTGTCTCTGGTGTAAAAATATATAAATAAATAATTTTTAAAAAATGAAAAGAAATTCAAGGTATTTAAATAGTAGACTCTTCTCTCTCATGTGTAAAGAGGTGAATTTTCTGAGCGGGGAGTCACCTGATAAATTAATATGTCTCAATAAGTGCATATATGCAAATATATGCTGGATACATTTAATTTTTTCTCCCTTTTAAAGATCAAGGCCCTTTGAACTGGAAATGAGTTTATTTAGAATGAAAATCAACTGGCATTTTATAATCAGGAAACCAGGACATCTTCCTATAATCTGCTTCTTGAAAGCAAACTCATAATCAGTAAACACTCCTTTACACTTTTGAGGCCATAATTTTTGAGATAAAACACTTCTCAAGGGAAAATAATTATATCTTGTATTATTCCAAACAATATATAACTGGCATTTCACTGTAAAATTATTGGGGATTTTGATTTCTTCTTTACTTATTTATGGTTTGCTCCTTTCTCACCCTCCCACACATTTACATACTATTCCTGTTTCATTTTGGGGAGATGGAGCAGACATATTTTTTGCTACTTAACCCATTAAATAAAACAAAAAATGCTAAATACTAACTCTTAGTTGAACACTCACTTGAACGCTGAACTTGAAGTTGAAGAGTCATACCCCTTAGGGAATTTGGGGCTCAAGAAATGACACTGTAGGGGAGTCCCTGGTGGTGCAAGGGGTTAAGACTCAACCTATGAAGCTATCCGCAGCCACTGCAGCATGAGTTCAATCCCCAGCTAGGGAGCTACCCACATGGCGCAGCAGACCTCTCCTGCCTCGCCCGCTGCTCCCTTCAACAGCGTATTTCGGTCATTCTGCCTGTTCTTTTCCCCTGTTCCCCAGTCTGTCTCTGGTGAATCCTCTCAACCCCCCACCCCACACCTCTGGCCTGTACCCCAGTTCTTGTATGCATAAATAAATCTTTAAAAAAAAAAAAGAAATGACACTGTAATGAGTTTCCCAGATTTTCTTTTTGCCACATATATCTCAGAATAGGAGTTATACACACCAGCAGCCTAGAAACACCAACAGGCACAAAACAAAAATCAAAACAATCAAAAGAAAACCCAACTGAAGTCTTCTTGGGAATGTTCAGCTTAGCAAGACAAAATCTTTTAGAAAATAGCTACTCTACTGTGTTCAATTATCACAGTGAAAATGGAGCCCCATCTCAGCCATTATTAGCAAAAGCTAAGTGAGTGGGGATCCAAGACTTTTGGCTTTGTCAGGCTGCAGATGTTCCTAGCCTCACTTGGCTCCTGCAATCAGCTCCTGCAATCAGCTGTCTATGGGAAACTTCAGTTCTA